ATGCCCTCACAGCGTTTCAGCAACTGCTAGCGTCTTAGCGAGAGCTTGTAACCCGCACAAAAAGCTCTAGATCTGTGATGCAGAACAACGGCAAACACCGTAGAGCAAGAACTAAGACTACTTATGTTGAAGCGCGGGCTTCCGAGCACAAGACTGTGAAACAATGGCCTGCGCAGACTCCAACGGCGTGGCTTCTAAGGGTTCCTGGAAGCAGGCGCTTCATGGCATGAAAAAAGCTGCCGCCATGTTGCTATTCGTGCAAATCGGACGGGCGCATTGTCTTCTGGTGCTTTTTGCAAGTATGACTGGATCCTTCTCTTTATAAGTTGTCTTCTTACCATGTGAACGTCCGATTGTGTAGGCCGACGCGTGGATCTGCTGGACTGTCGTGGTCTGAGCTCCACACCAAATCAAGGCTTCTTGATTTTTTTGTTGGCATTCTGGGAGGGCAGAGGCCACGTGCCGCTGCAGAAGAATTGAAAGAAACCCCTGGGCACCTGAACCCATGACCCAACGCTTTGTCCCCCTGCCTCGCTGCGATGCTGGAGCTTGCCCTGGAACCGCAAGTGATTTCAGGAAACATAATTAGGAAGAAGCCTGGGGCGAGGTCTCTCCCGGGAGGCGGAGATGTGGCTAAATCTATGCAATGGGCGGGATTCTCAATACAAGGAAACCCTTCAAACCTAAGATCCCAGTTCGGGGGACAGGTATGGAGTCCCTATCCCAAGCCATGTCCACTGAGCAGTTCCATTGGGCGAATATGCCCGTGGACTTCCAAAGGGCGTTTGGCTTTGAGGGCTTTTTTGGAGGCACAAGTTGCGGAAGTCGGGCGCATGGTCTAGTGGTTTGGAAGCTATACCAGGTTGTAGGAGATTTAGGGCACGTTCTTATAGGGCTTCTAGGAGACTTGCGGAGTGTAGGTCTATAGAGTCTAGGAGGGGCTTTTCTTTGGGTCGTTGAGGCTCCGTGGCTCCTCGAGGACGGCATTCCGCTCCAGCAGCTTTGCGCATCGCGCGACCGCCTCCTTGCAAGCGCGGCCACAAAGCCCGAAGAGCCGAACGGGTTTTTTGCCACCCACCTAGCAGACCCCCTCTACAGGGTTTAGGGTTTAGGGTTTCGGGTTTAGGGCGGAACGCCGGAACGGACCTTCTCAACCCAAGAAAGCAATGCAAGGACCTCGGCCCCACCCCTCCACTGGCCCTTCACAGCAGAAGAAAAGTGCAAGAAGCTCCAAATCGCCTATTGCTGACTCTTTTCGCCTGAGAGCAAAACCCCATGACAGCCACGAGTAGCCCAAATCCTGCGCGAACCTCCCCCAACCCCATGAGCAAATCTTCTGATCCCCCAGAACAACCGCCCTGAAACCGAGACATCCTCGGCACACAAGTGGCGCTGGTCTAGGGCCTCCGGGCTCCGGGTCAGAGTGGCGTGGAAACTACAGACTGTCGGGCTTGAATTGTAGAAAACTGTACGAGTCCAGGTCGATAGGGCTTTGAGTCTCTCAGACTCCATGGCTCCTCGAGCGCGGCACGCTGCTCCTGAAGCTTGGCATTGAGCGTGGCCACCTCCTTTCAGGCACGGCCCGGCCTAACAACCTTATCAGCCCCCAAGCTGAATCTCAAGGGCGGGGTCATGTGTCATGTCAAGGGGATTCTACTTGGCCACGAATGAGAGGCCTAGAAAGGGGAAGCAGGCCTACTTCCTCTGCGACGACAACAACTTTCCTCAAGAAAGGACACTGTCAGACTGGCCATGACGCACCGCACCGGCTACCACGATGTGCTGCCGCCCCAAACTGGAATGCCAATCCTACAGACCCGACAGTTGACAGGAGCCCTGCCCCCTAAATCCTACTGCTGCTGAGACTGCCTGAAATATATGTTGCACACAGGGGGGCCCGAAATTCATTCCAATTCGCCGGACGATTCAGGACACGCTAACTGTTTAACTGTTTGGGGGGGTCGGAGCGGGGGCCTGGTAGGCTACCCCTAGGCCTGCGGGTAGGCCTGTGGGTCGCCTACCCGTGGGTAGGCCTATACGCAGGCCATAGGCTTATAAGGTAGGCCTACCCAGAAGTCGGACGTAGCCTTATTTTCGCACGTCTATATGGCAAGAAGTACAAAATGACAGCTTCGACTGCTCCAAAAGGGCCGCGGGGGGGGGCACACCAAAGAGGGTGCACCACCCGAGACAGCTTTGATGATGCGCTCTGATGCGGCAGATGCAAGGCTCTATAAGAGCCAAGAATTCCCTGAGTTCTTGTGTTCGGGCAGGCTTCAACCAAAAAGAACCCAAAACCTCATTGGGTCTTGTTGCCTTGTCTTAGAGGATGACAACATCGAAGCCCAAGCAGCTAGAAAAGCTCGCTATGCGCAGGACTCGGCCTGCCGCGCATGCGCGAGCGCGAAGGACTCGGTCCGTTCCTTGCATTTGGCGATTTGCCGCTTTCCACTGTGGAGTCTTGGGGGTTTAGGGTGTATATAGGGTTTGGATACCGAAACGTGGAGGCTGCAGATGTCGTCCTTCTTGAGGTATCATCGTTCGTATCCGTCGTATCCGAGCCCGAACACGAGTCAGAACCATACCTTCATTTGGAAGCACATGTGCAGCATCGGGCAGCGGGCCTTGAGCAGGGTCATGGTATTTTCGGCGCCCTCCAGCGGCCCATCCTGGGGGCAGCAGGCGGGGTTCGTCATATTCGTCTCATCTCACCCCGAATCACACCTCCTGGAACGTGTTCATGCAGCCATTTGCGGAGCCAGTGAATTCTCATAACTCCACCTTCAGCAGATATGGGACTTCCGACACAAAGCCCCGTGCTCCAACCACTCCACAATGCCGAAGCGTTCTGGAAACCCTCGACCCGGCTAAACAAGGAGCCACGGCAGAAAACTCCAAACTCCGCAATTCACCCCCCCCCCCCCCCCCCCCCCTCCTCTCTCCCCCTGCCTGAAGTATGGCCGGTTCCCCTCAGAAACGGAGAGCTTCAGAAACACTGCAGGGCTCTGGATTTATGGTTCGTCTATGTTTCTCTCTAGAACCTCAGCCCTATATATGAACATCCCTGAATCCGCGCCCCGAAGGCCTCAGAGCTCCCCTCAGCATCCACGCCCGGATGCGGCGCACTCTCTACTCTCTCCAGGGCAGTACTCGAAATCGAAAGGGCCGCAACCCGCACACAGTCGTCTTCTTCCCCCAAACCCCCGCCAACCCTCTTGGCCGCTGGCCCTTTGGGGGCTCCGGAGCCTGCGGGGCACAGGCTGATGCGCACGGGCCTTGCAACCGCCTCCGCCACTGCTACCACTACCATGACGACGGCTGCTGCTGCTGTCGGGGTATTTCTCCTGCTCATACGCAGCGACCCCCTGCGCTCTGAGGATCCTGCGTCGGCGCTCATTGCTGGCTGCAACTGGCTCTATTGGTGGGACCAGGTCTGCCCTAAGCTGAGAACTCAGCAGGACGTCGGCTGAGGATCTCAGAGGCCAAGCTGCATTTTGGTCGTTCTACTTACACGCACTTGTGGCTTCGTTCGCTAAGTGCCATGTGCATGTGCAAACATCCATGCTACTGTGCTGCTGAAGTAGAACGAACCTCACCCCTGGTAGCCAGCACTGCGCAAACGACCAACTGAAGTTGATGGCGGGGGGGGGGAGGGGGTTTGTCCCTGGGCAAGATTCGCACCCACAGGACGTGGAGAAGCCCGGAGTTCGAAGAAGGTCGGAGTGACAGGGCCGTGCCCCGAACAAGCAGACCAGGAAAACCAAGGCACGGCCCCGTGTCCCCCTTTCAGGCACTGCGTCCCTTGCTTGCGGGTACGGGGGAACAAAACGTGCTGCAATTTCCGGGCCTGGGCCTGCGTTGCTTATGTCTCCTGTGGTCACGCTTCTTCTGGTTGGATCTATAGAGGATTCAAGTCTCATTGGCCTCAAGGTTGTTACGAAGTTCATCCCACCCCGACAGTAGTGGAAAAAACAGTCAACAACAACACTCCTCTCTTGTTGATTCCCTCGCTCGGCGCTCTCTCTCTCTCTCTCTCTCTCTCTCTCTCTCTTTTGCTCTCTCGATCCCTCGCTCTCTCTATCTCTCTCTCTCTCTCCCTCTCTTCCTCTCCCCCTCTCTCTTCCTCTCAGAAGTGCATGCGGGCTCAAGGTGCTCATGACAGCCCCCGTGCCCCCGCCTGTGGGACCTCCCCCCCGCCATCGCTTGGAGGAGCTGCAGACCGATGCCGTGGGGGGCCCCCCCTCGCACCCCGCAAACTGTGTCTGCCATTGCTCTGCAGCCCCACGGCTATCAGTCCGCATGTCTTTTTCGGCACGTCTTTTGCTCCATTCCGGCGATGCGCGTCGCGCGTCTTGCGCGCACGCGGCCTGCGTCCAACGTTACCAGGTGCACGTGTTCCACGCGCGCCCTTGCAGCTTCATAATCGCGCCTACCTGTGCAAGTTTCGGTATAGGCCATGGATCTCTGCATCTTTGGCAATCATTCGCTTGGTGAACGCTGCATCAGAGGAAGCCCGATTGCATGTCGAAAGTGTCCTTTTCATGCATCTGCAAGCTTACCTGCGTAGTATCCTATGAACTCCATCTCCACCTGGAAACATGGCGTCGCCTGCAGGTGAAACACTTTGTTGCACCATGCGGTGTATTCCCACAGTTTCGTCTGCTATAGTACATCAGACTTGAGCCCACACGGACGCTGTGATATGTTTCCAAGAGCTTTCAGGCTGGCGTGGTCAAGGGCTTCACCGCTTCACCTGCACACAAATGGAACGATGCAGCAAACCCGAAAAGCCCATAACAAATCTAAATGATCTAAGTACACAGCCGGCCGTTTGCTACTACAGCACATCTTCTACGAAAAGAAGCGGCTGCTGGGACGGTGCCCACCTCACAGAGCCTGTTGTCGCGCATGTCCTTCATCCGCACGGGACCTGGCAAAGGCTCGGACTGCGCCGCGCAACTTGTACCAAAACATGTGACATGTTTCCGGTCCGAGGGGCTTCATTCATCCAAGGCTGCATCTCGCGCCATCTCGCGCAGGCGCATCAAGCGCATCCAGCCGCCGATAACTACGTTGCCGGTGGCGAGTTCCTGGAGCGTGGACAATCGTGGAAAATGATGCAAAAGCATGGACCAACGGAGCTGCAAGCGCAATGGAACACACGGAGATGCTCTCAGCTGTCCGCAGGCGTTTCTGGTGTTGCTGCCGTTGCCTTGATCACATGCTGGCTGCATCGATCCGCCTCTGTCACCCGATTAATTTTACTTGACCCGCCTGACTCTCCGCAGGTTCGGATTCCAAGTGCAGGCCTGTCTGCAAGGCCTGCTCGCTGGGCACGAAGATGGATCCGCAGTGGGTGGGGGTTGCAAGAATAGTACTGGATCTGCTACAGTGCCTAGCAGCAGCATCAAAAAGTAGCGTGAACCATCATGCCATTGCTCATGACCGCGCTCTCTGAAGTTAATGCAACGGGCAGAAAAGCCCGTACGACTGCGCCGGGGTTGCGCGGCTCGCTTCAACGACCAACGTCCATGCCAGAAGAGTTTCGATGAACCGACAACATGGAAAAGACTTGGTTCACTGGTTCAGGCCGCAGGAAGAGATCGTATCATAGACCAGCTTCGGTCCTCGGAACTCGCTGCGGCGGAGTGCTTGGCCTGGACACAGGCCCTTGTCATGCTTGTTCCTACATCAGCATTTCTGCTGCATCACGCAGCCCTTGCCGAGTACACGGTATAGGTGGTCAGCGTTATCGCACAAGTGCAATGCGGGAACGAAGCAAACCATGCAACGGACCATGATATGGCTGTTCCTGGCAAAAGAAGGCGCCATCGGAAACTTGAGAGGCTTCCCCTCTTCCCTCCCTCTCCCCTCCTTTTTTCCCTATCGAAAAGGGACATCGCGTGCAATAGAGCTAGTGCGGTTGGCCTTAACGGCTGACATTCGGTGCACGTTTGCAGCTGCAGCAGTGGCAGCTCCAGGCTCAGCGGGCGGCCCAAGAAGTTGACACGACACTCTCCGCAACTGGCACTGCACCCGCCAATTTTTGCGCACGTGCCAGCGTCTTCGGGCGTGGGGTGGGGCAGTATGTCCGTTCGAGCTCATAGCGTTTGCAGGGCAAAGGGCCAGTGCAGGCACCCGAAAGCCAAAGTTTGGGCGGACCCGGACGACTGCGCAGGAATTAGCATGAGGGTTCGTTCCTATAGGGTCATGGCCCCATATGGCAATACAAGTGCTATCAGGAGACTCAGGAGATGCTGTCTCTTCAGCACGGGCCTCTGCCTCTGCTTTCTCTGTGCGCTGCTTCTTCAAGTGCTCGACGTCGGGCTTGAGCGTGGCGAGCTCCTGCTTAAGGTCTTCTGCACAGTTCTGCAGCCGAGGGGGGGGGGGGGGGGCAAGACAGGTAACACAACGCAACTCAGAGTATATATCTCATCCGTAGAGCGTTGATGTAGTCCACACGATGCGGTAAATTGGCAAGCCTGCATGCACTTATAGAGGATGCAGCTGCGGCGACAACATGAGCGGCACCCAGACCTGTCCTGTGCAAGTCTATTCACTTCCTGCAGCGGCGGGATCCACACCAAATGCGTTCGCACTCATCTAAGTGAGTAGTTACACGGAGCATGCTCGGTCAATGACGGTCAATGGCCTGGCAAAGCTATTTGCAAACCCATCTGCGAATACGCTTGAACTGCGTGCTGAGGCTTACTTCAGTTTTTGAAGCTTCTCTCAACCACCGCAGGCCGTTGATGATTTTCAGGTCTTTATCCGCATACGTGCGAACGAATCCTGGTCAGTGCCATCCGAACTTGCCCCGAACTGGATACTCGCTGCTGTGTCCTCCTTCAATGCGCTCTGCGCCTGGCGGAGCCCAAGAGAGGCGGCATTGACGCTCTGACAAGTACGTGGCATGAAGGACTCTTAGCCCTGCGGTGGCTGGTCATGCACTTCGATGGCATGGCAGAGTAATTACGGGCAGCTGCGCCGCGCTCTGTCACAAAAGGCTAGAAACACTGGGGGGGGGGGGGTGTAGCCCCCCCCGCCCTCCGGGACAAAAAAGTGGGGCTGTTGTGGGGAAACAGGAATAGGAGGTCAGAAACGGCTCAGGCAGTCAGACTGGTGCAGTTGTTGGACGTTCTTGCAGACCAACTCGCCGTACCAGTAGGAAAGCAATAAAAATGAGAGCAAAGCTGTTAAGTTGCAGGTGTGACATGGGGTGACACATGAGCATTTGCTACTGATGCCATACTGCTTTGAAGGGATTCAAAAGAGGCCTGGAAAGAGGCCTGGTCGGGCAAAGGTTCCGCTTCGGGCCCAGGGAGCCGGAGCCGTCGCAGGTTCTCATCCAGCTCCAGGGACCTCTGTGGCTGTGAACACTATCTTGAAAAACTGTCCACGCATCCACGACAACCGTTTCACAATGAGAGGACTGAGAGGACCGTGGACATTCACTTTTCAGAGCAGCAAGAACTCCCAGCCTCCTTGCTTGCTCTCGCTTGCTCTCGCTCGCTCGCGTTCGCACTCGCTTCCAGTCTATTTCGACTTCGCCTGCCCTACAGCTGGTCAACGACACAGCTGAATGGTGTTGTTGATGCGGATGTTGCTGGATGCGAGTACAAGATTCCCTGGCTTGCTCCTCATGCTCGCCTCGTTGTGCTTCGTTTTGTTGCGTCTCTGTTTGTTACTGCTTCCGTTCTTTGTGGCTTGTGTTCATGTTTGTATGAAACTTACTGTAAGTTAGTCGTTAAGTTTAAATGCTGCCGCTGTGCTGCTTGCTTCACTCTGTTTGCTTTCGTCTGCTTAATACTAGTGCTTGTCTCTCGTTGTTTTAGTTTTGTGACTTTCAGCTGAGCGGCCATGCGGTTTTTCATGCGTATACAGAAAATCAGAGAAATGCTTTTCTGCTTGCATTGTCCAGTTTGCTGTAGGCAACAGCCTTGTGCTGGCTTGGTGCTACTTAGTTTACTTGCCTTTTGCACGTGAACTCAGTCGTTTACTTTCTTTTTCACTGCATCTTGGTGTGGGGTTTTTGTTCTCTGTACTATCCGGCCCTGCAGGACGCTTCCGTAAAACTACGCATTCGTCACAAAGCCTGTAATTAGATTACACAGCAAAGCACCAGAAATGCGCGCCTCGACTCCAAAAGCTCGATGGCTTCCCGGCTTTTGCACCCCGGAAGCAGCTCCTCGAGAACTTCCTTTGCCATCACCTTCTGGGGGTCCTCGCGGCGGTTTCAGCAAGTGTTCGCCATGGCCTCCTTCTGCTCTGATAAAATGCGACGCAGCAAGGGCACACACACACACACACACAAGAGTCCTTGAGGCCACCGCAGAAGAGCTTCGCACGAATGCGACTGTTGCTTTGTTTGCTTTGTATGGTGGCGACGCTGTCGATCCTCTTCGGGAGCAGCGATGCCTCCGAGCAAGTCGCGCGAAGCACCGCTAAGAACTTAGTAGACTTTAGTAGGGCTTGCAGCTAGCAACCGCTAGCCTCCCTTCAACCGCCACGCAGCCACACGGCGATGACGGGCGATGACCCGGCAACGCAGTCCACGACTTGCAGAACTGGACAGGAAAGCTAGCAGAGCCGCGGCACCGGGCAGATGTTCGTCGGATACGGGATCTCCACGAAGGTCGCGCGCACGTCGTGGAAGCGAAGGAGGGACTTCACGGCCTGGTGAAGAGACACAGGTTGTGGACATCGTTGGCTTGGCGAGACAGCGCTCTCTAGCTTGAGTGGATTAGCTGCACCGCGTATGGTCTCTGAAGGATCCTTTCTCGACCGCACCGCGCACGTTCTGTGAAGGATCCAGGACTCCCTCGTGACCCCGCCTCTTCGGGAAAGTTCAAGTCAGCCAGCAGCAATGTGGGAAGATTGTCTGTGTCGCGGTTCACCAAACGCGCCACGCACTTGCAAAACTGCTCACGTGCAGGTCCATAAGGTCTTCCGGGCAGATGCCTTTGCACAGGGACACAGCTTTCCACCCCTTGCTAACATCGTTTCTGCTGAAGCAGGCATAACATTCGCTGCGGCGCGTGGTCACCACGCGGAAATTAGTCTGGGACTCCTTCAGGCGGAACTTTGCCTCCATGATGGCCTCCAACTCACACACAGACACAGAGCGTCAACGCATCTCATTTGCGAAGGTTTCAGGACAAGCTCACGTGGTTTAGGATGGTTCAGGCCCGTTTAGGCATCCCGAGATTTTTTCTGCACAAGGACGAGGGAACTCTGAGAGGGCATAGCACGACAGAAACATCTGAGGAGATGCACCACTGCCACCACCCCGGCCTTCTTCTCATCGAATGCGTAGGCCTCCTCGCCACGATGGCAGATCGGATTGTTCGGTCCGGGAAGCAACTCCAGGACCTCCGTGTCGAAAACCAGAGCCTGTCAAGCACGACAGGTCTCAAGAGCGAACACATCAAACACCTGTCAACCTTTGCAACTGCCACACTACATCAAATGACATGCCAAGGAAATCGCTCGAACCCCACCTCTTGGTTTTTGTCGTCGTCCTGCCCACTTTGCAGCAGCGTAAATCGCGGCATCCCCACTTCGCCAAGCCTCCTCTGGAGGACGCGGAGAAAGTCTGCCGAGCATTCCTGCAAGCAAATCAAGGAGACCGGGTAATGTTCACGGCAAAGCATCTTCTGCGTGATGTCGGCAATCCGGTGCTCTCGGGCGTCTGCTCGGTCGGCGGACTCTGGAGATTCCCGAGCGTGTAGTTCCGAGATCAGCGAACCGTTGAGGCCCTGCGTGTCTTCCGCAATGAACTTGTAGTAGCTCTTGTTCAAGACGTTCCAAGATGCAACATGGAGCGGCTTTGCTTCATTCACTGTGACCGTGGCCCCGACGGGGGGGTGATCTGATGGAAACTGCCACATGTTGCCCATTGGCGCTGCCAGTCGGTGGGGCAAGGAACCCAGCTTGTTCATGATCACCACGTCTGAGCAGGCTTCCAGCAAGCCCTGAACGACCTCAAGCCTCTCTTGAATTTTGTCCGTCCGCACATCTCCTTCGAAGGCGGCCTTCTGCTCCAGCATTCCCAAACACTGGCGAACACACGTCCTGGCCTCCTCCTTCTCCTCTCTCTCGACTTCTGTGGAGTTTTGCGTGTTGTGCATCGGGCCATCTAGCTGTTGCTGCATCACCTTCAAGCTCTCGCCTTGGCTGAAGTCGCGAAAAAAATCTAAGGCTGCAGAAGAGCTGAATGTGTTTGTGTGTGTGTGTGTTACATGTTTATACTGAGCATTACGTGTACCGAAGCGGTTCTGAGAGAGACACATGCTCATGGGAAGCGCATGGGTGTGCCGCAAAGGTCAACCTGGTCACACGTGCCTCAAACTCTCTCTGTTTCTTTGCGAGGGTTCAAGGGGTTCTGCATCTCGACTTCAGAGCTTTCGAAAGGCGTTACAGGCTTCGTCTCTCGCTTCCGCATAGCTGGTCTTATAGTGTGTCCGGGGTGCCCGTGCGCACTGCGGGGGTGACCTGCGAATCATGCGCACATGAGTTAAGACAAAGAGTCGAAACATAAAACAGCATCCATGTACAGTGTTTGTATGGCATCGCAGCACAGCATAGGTTAGGTTAGGTTAGGTTGAGCAGGCTAGCAGGTTAGCAGGTTTAGGTTTGGTTCGGTTACGCTAGGGCATGTTGGGGTTTAGGATTAGGGCTGAAGCTTGCAACGATTGGAAAGAATGATCAGAAGTGTGGTGTACGGTACGTAGCTGACACCAGGAAGGCGCCGAGCATGCACGTCCAAGAATGCTTGCTGATTCACCCCCCGTTTCTTTTTGATTTGACCCTCCTTGCTTTCTGAAGCATGGACGCCTGATTTGGGCATATGTTCTGCGAATCGGTCTTCAGGCCGCACTGCCGTGCGAGCACCTAAACACACAAGACACGCCTCTGCCATCCTCTCTTGGTTTTTTGGTGAAGGTGCATATTGCTGGCTGTATGCCGCTAGAGCCGTCCTCCCCTGAAGCTTGACTCCAAGGGCCCAGCAGACACTGGGCAGGTGGATGTGGCGATCCCAAAGATGCTCTCTGTAGCAGGTTCGTAACAGAAGCGTTTCATCTCCCTCATACAAAGACATTCTCACAATGTTTGAATATATCTGGTCAGCCTGATTTTCAACCCGGCGGCGCAGCTGGGCCACGTCATCGATCGCGTCTTTCTGCTTGGGCGTCAGTGGCTGGTGCTGCTGAGGCTGCTGAGGCTGCTGAGGCTGCTGGGGCTGCTGGGGCTGCTGGGGCTTGGGTGCTGAGGGTGGGCTTGGGGCTGGGCTTGGGGGCGTCTTGAGCATGCTGGCCAGGGCCTCTGCGTGTGCGGCAAGCTGGCAGAGCTGGGCGGCCCAGTGCTGGAGCAGGGGCCACAGCAGCGTCAGCACGCTCAGGTGGAGCTCCTGATCCCAGCCGCGCTGGCAGAAGAAGGCGCTCCGCTCCCAAAGCCGCTTCACCTCACAGCATCTCACAGCTGCGACAACTCTCCAACCAACGCAGCCCTCCGTTTCTAAGCCTCCGGGTGCACCATCACTCTGCCGTTCTGACGACATCGACGTCATGGTTTGTCTAGAATTGCCGCGCATGGCTTAGGAAGGTCAGCGTAGCAAGCACTAAACTCACTAAACCCTGCGCGGCTATAGGAACTATCCCTCTGCGTTGTCTTCGTTCCCCGCTGAGCATTCCGTCGCATTCCGTCGCATTCATCCCTCCGCCGCCCACCCTCTCACCTTGTTCGTGCCTAATTCCTTCCATGGTTGTTCATTTCATGGCGGTTCTTCTTTCTCTCTTTCCAGCCGCGAAACTTGTGTTGATGAGAAAGGTGCAACAATTGCAACAGGTAGAGTGGCATGTTCGACGCACCCAATCCGAAAGGCCCGAGTGTGTCGCAAAGAGTGCCCAGCTCCACATTCCTGAGAATGCCCGCTGACATCACCTGCAGAACTCGCTACCTCCTGAGATAGCCTTGCCGATGGACATGCTAACTAATTGTTGTTGCGCTTGCTCCGATGGCAGTGGCAGTCAGTCTAGGATTGCAGCTGGCTTGGTGCATCCAAACCTTTAAGACTAAGGGAGGTGCCGGTTTGACGCAGTCTGCGCGTGCCACGGAGATGCATCTACAGATAAATGACAGGACACGTTGAACAACTAACAAATCAGCATGTCCCACCGTGGCGGTGCTGAGGAAGCGACATACTTCATGGGCTTGGCATGTTTCGCAGCGTACTCCTTCAACCCTCTCTCCAGGTACTCGATCTGGTTGCCATCCTTTGTCAAAGGCCTCACCTGTCTCGAGGCGTCCTCCGTGCAGATGTACCCGGCATAAAGCACGTTTGTCACCTCGAAGAATCGCACCTCATGTGCGCCACACGGCCGCCCTTGGAAGAGGCACGTTTTGGCAAACACGTCTACCTTGGCGGTGCGGCCTCTTGCGCCCTTCCTGAGGGCCTCGACCAAACCAATCTGGCTTTGCTCGTTCTTGGCACCTTCTGCTTGGCACAGCTTGAAGCCTTCCCTGATTTCTTCGCGGCTCCAAGTCAGAAGCTTGTCCTCGTCTGATGAGTGTGGATCTCCAGTTTTGAGGCCACCCCAGTGAATCGCCAAGTCCTCGTTCCAGTGCTTTCCAAACTTCTTTTGGAGCTCGGCGGCCAACTTTTCCAGGGCCTCTGCCTCGTCGCGAGCTTCCAGGATCACGTACTCGGCCAGATCCACATCCCCAGGGAAGTTGAACTGCTTGAAGCGAAAGCTCCCTGCTGGCCGCGTGTGCTCGAACAAGGAGACGGCAGCGATGACCCTGCGAAGCTCTTCACTTAGATCCGCGTGAAAGCGCTCCTCCAGCAAGCATGCCCCTCGACAGAGGTTGCACTTCTCGGAGAAAGTGGAGACTCTGCAGTCTCGGGTCACACAAGGGCATCGCGATGCGAAACGATCGACTGACCGCAAGGAGCGCATCTCTTGGAGCCACGGCAAGATGCCCGAGGAGATGCCCGTGCCATACTCTGACAGGTCTTGTGCGTCGACAGCATCCCTCATCGCCTTGCACTCGAAGCCCAATGCCTTCCTCCAGGCCGACATCAAGGCCAGCTTCAGGTCTTCCTGGTCCTGCGGACTGGCATGGCCAGCATGGCCAGCATGGCTGGCATGGATTCGCAGCAATTCCGGGCTCTCGATCGGGAAAAGCGACAGGTTCACCGCCGCATCCGCCGTGCGGACCTCCACCAGGTTGCTGTAGATTTGCGGCGGGCCTGGCGACAGACGCGCGGCACCACTCCCCGGAGAGGTCAACGTCTTGTACAGGATCGATGCCAGCTTCGGAAAGAGATGCGGAGACATGAAGCCATCCAGGTGCACGTAAAGGAGCAGGTCTTCGGTCCGTGCTGGCGGCTGCAAGAGGTGGGCTTTTGGAAGGCAGCAGGGCACCATGAACTGATCCACCTCGGGTAGCTGTACCATGACCCCACGTCTCAAGAGCACCTCCCGCAGAATTGCCTCGTGCTCCTCCTGGAACTCTTGTGCCCAGAGATGCTTCAGGAACTGCAGCGTCACCACTCCACAGGCCTTGAAGCGCAGCAGGTCGCCGGGATCGGCACGCCTTATCTTCTCGTCCATGTATGCTTGATACTCCTGGGAGTGTTCCCAGTGGGACTCCTCACGGAAGCGGACGAACAGGAGGCCCGTCAGCGCTTCGGCAGCCTTGCTCGGATTCAGCATCACCTGAGAGCGATCCCCAAGATGCGGAACCCGCGGACCCACCCCTGGAACGTACAGAGCTGGAGTTAGACTTGCCGACGCTCGCTCTTTCCGTCCTACTTTTGATTGTGTGTGTCTCCGAAGTATGCTTCTCGTCTGGAGCCCCTTGGAAAAACAAATGTGGTCTCCAGGCACTTCTAAGTCCGGAAATGGGGTGTGGGAACAAACAGACCAGGATCCGCCCCCTTCCACGCCGACGATTTGTGGCCCAACCCTTCCCGCTAGCACGAACATCTGACGCCGCCAGCGGACAGAGGGCAGGCAAAAAAGCACGAAAGAAGGTCTCTGAACACTTTCCTTCAAAACTCGGGACCCCCTGAAATGCTGGAACCCTCCCCCTGAACGGCTTCCTGCCTGACCACCCAAGCATGCCAGGGTTGTCACTTTGGGACTGTTGGGTGACTGTTGGGCACAGAATGGCATTTCCTTTCGTCTGCGCTGCGCACTTCCGCGGCTTGGTTTGATGTTTCGGTGTCTGCGTTCTGCCCTCTGCGAGCTCTTGTTGTAGGGTCGCTGGCTAATTTTTGTGTGGATGTTGATTGTGTTTAGGTGCGCAAAAAACCTCGCACACGCGCTCGACAATCCGGACCCCCTCAAAGGCAGCAAGCCAAAGCTTCCAAACCCTGCCAGAACAGGGCAGACACTCCGAGGCGTTCCGAGTACCACATGGCTACAGCAACCTGAGAGCATCACAACCTGGTCCAGGTGCTCGTCCTCGAACCACACCAAGGTGCCCAAAGAGTGCAGGACCCTCAACAGCTTCTTCACCTCTTCACCTGCAGGTTTGCTGTATGGCTGCATCTCGCTGTGGGATATGTCTATGTATTGTGCTGCAAGGATCAATGCGCTGCTACTAGAGCAGCCATCACTTGAGGCCGCGTGTGACTGGGAGGGTAGGGGCCCCGATTCTCGTTACAGCTGGCTGCTGGCTGAGAGGGCCCTCTTCGGGTTGTTCCCCGCGCCTTCCAGATGCTTCGGCCTCATGCGTTGCAGCAGCTCCGACACGGTCTCCAAAGACAGGAAATCGAAAGACAGGTTCACCTCCACGGTCTCTGCGTCGCTCTCTTTTCCAAAGAGGCAGGCCCTCAACGAAGTGCCTGCCGGTGCCTTCAACCCCTCCCAAACGGAGCACTGGACGTCCAGCAGCGACTGCAGAGGGAAAGTGACAGCTCCTCTTGCATCCTTCTGCAGGTGCTTTCCCGCTCTTCGGGCCTCTTCCACGCAGCTTTGCACATCTTTTCTGGCGGCAGTGCAGGCGAGGCCCTCGCCGAGCTGGCGCAGCAGGTCGTGGCCGCGCAGCCATGACACGGGGTAGCGCTTGGAGTTCATACCGGCGTGCTGAGCCGGCATGCGCTGCAGAGCTCTGTCGAGAATCATCTCCTGGCCGATCTCTCCGATCTTCTTCCGGAGCGCCCCGATCCCTTTGCATTTCTCCAAGCAATCGGCCTTGTTTTCGACAGGGAACAGCCACTTGCAGCGGCAGGCCTCGCCATCACAGCTTCCGGGGCCATCCTGCAGCTGCCGCCTCAGGCTGGGCAGCTGTTCCACCAGACCTTCCAGGTGTTTCTGCAAGGCAACGTCGGCGCCCTGCCTCCGTTTGCTCCAGTGGGTGCCTACGATCAGAATCGGCGGCCTCGGCTGCTCCTCAGCCTCCTCAAACCTCTCGCCTCCTCCTCCCCTCTTCTTGTGGCCCTCCTTCTCTTTCTCCGTCTTGGCGTAGCGGGTGATCGCCCACAGCCAGAATTTCAGATCTTGCCACTCCTCCACCGGGTCAGCGCTCAGATCACACATCGCGAGATACATGGCCTGCCCAGTAAAGTACAAGAGGTTTAGCTGCGCATACTCGCGCTGCCCGGGGAAGTCCCAGGCTTGCAGCCGGAGCTGCGGCCTGGACGCTTCCTCCTGAGTTTTCCCTCCAGATAACTCCAGCACCAGCTCGCCGCTGAGCTGCGACGGGCCGAGCATCCGCGGGAGCTGTCCCTTGAGTCCAAGCTCAGGAACATTCTGCTGTCGCTGTTCGGGCTGCTGCGGGTCAATCGTGGCATCCTCCCCGGCTGACGTGCTTGACATGATCTTGCCCGAAGCTCCATTCTGCGCGTCTGCATCCAACGGCTCAAGCGGTTCGTTTGCGTTGTCCTTCTTCTCGGTCTGCTGGCTCGAGGCCTTGTTACCTGTCTGTTTCTCCACCTCTTGCTGCGCCTTCGTTTGCTGCTGTATCTTCCTCACTCCTGCGCGAGCCATGTCCTTGTCGATAACTCTGCCCTCCCACTGCCTCCACTCTTCATCCAGGTCGTGCACCTCGGCAACGGAGCGCGCGACGCCGAAGGTGGACGCCTCCTCCTCGGGCAGCTCTTCCCCTTTGATGCGCCTCAGCTCCCGCCGCGCGCGCACGCGCAACGACTCACAACGACTCACAGCGACCTCTCATCCCTGGATAGCCCTCGCAACCAACAAACACACAAACAAACAAACAAACAAACAAAGAAACAAACACACACAAACACACACAAACACACACAAACACACACACACACACACACACAAACACACACACACACAACACACACAAACACACACAAACACACACAAACACACACAAACACACACAAACACACACAAACACACACAAACACACACAAACACACAAACACACACAAACACACACAAACACACACAAACACACACAAACACACACAAACACACAACAGACACACACACACACACACACACACACACACACACACACACACACACACCCACCCACCCCCACCCACGCACGCACGCACGCACGCACGCACGCGCACGCACGCACGCACACACGCGCACACGCACACGCACGCACGCACACGCACACGCACGCACGCACACGCGCACGCACCACCGCGCAGCACGCCACACACAGCACACGCACACGCACACGCACGCACGCACCCGCACACGCACACGCACACGCGCGCACGCACACGCACACACGCACACACGCACCACACGCACACACCACAACGCACACGCACACCGCACTCACACGCGCACGCACACGCACGCCACGCACACGCACACGCACCACACACACACGCCACACGCACACACGCGCACACACACACACGCACACACACGCACACACGCACACACCCACACACGCACACACGCCACACACGCAACACGCACACACACACGCAACACGCGGCTCGTGCGCGCGTGCGCGCGTGTGGCGCGTGCGCGTGCGCTTGCGCGCGTGCGCGCGCGTGCGCGTGCGCGCGTGGCGCGCGCGCGTGCGCGCGTGCGCGCGTGCGCGCGTGCGCGCTTGCGCGCGTGCGCGCGCGTGCGCGCGTGCGCGCGTGCGCGCTTGCGCGCGTGCGCGCGTGCGCGCGTTCGCGCGCGTTTGCGCGCGTGCGCGCCGCGCGCGTGCGCGCGTGCGCGCGCGTTGCGCGCGCGCGTGCGCGCGTGCGCGCGTGCGCGCGTGCGCGCGTGCGCGCGGCGCGCGCGCGTGCGCGCGTGCGCGCGTGCGCGCCGTTGCGTGCGCGGGTGCGCGGGTGCGCGGGTGCGCGGGTGCGCGGGCGCGGGTGCGCGGGTGCGCGGGTGCGGTGCGCGGGTGCGCGGGTGCGCGTGCGCGGTGCGCGGGTGCGTGCGCGTGCGCGGGTGCTGCGCGCGCGCGCGCGTGCGCGCCCGCGCACGCGCGCGCGCACCCGCGCACCCGCGCACCCGCGCACCCGCGCACCCGCGCACCCGCGCACCGCGCACCC